ATGCCTGAGAATGTACGAACCACATTCAGGGATGAAGTGATTTGACTACTTGGGATGTCCTGTAATAGGAAAATAATGATATTTCTTTAAGAAGAAGGATGCATCCTATTGTTATAATTACTAGAGAAAAAAGTCATGCGTTCTTAGAATTCTAAGGTACATAATTGCTAACTGTAGGAAATAGAAAAATTAATAAAAATAATTTGTCTCAACTTTAACCTGCAACATGATTGAATTGCTGTAAGATACTTTCCCTGAATTATTCATTAATCTGGAATGAGAAATCACTTATTTCATTTACTCTGAATATCTTTTCTTAAAGTCTAAAATTGGAAAGTCACAACTGTATTGGATAATGGATAACTGAGTAAATTCTGTGATAGAAAAATCTTAAGCTAACCAACCAGAAAACAAACAGAACATAATATATTCAAATTCTTCAGGAATTTAATTCAGACTATCTAATGTTAGATCCAAGGCAGCCAAAGAAAAGAGTATATTTAGTTGTTAAAGTAAGTGAATCAAGAATAAAAAATACTGAGTTCATTGAATAGCCCACTTAATAGACTTGAATAAATGACTTGACCTTTGGAAGTCTGAGAGCTTCAATTTATCTGCTCTCTAAATATACTTACAATAAAAATGCCATTAGAAGTATGCTGTGAGGATTAATGTCAGTGAAGAACTGTGAGACCCATGGATAAGAGATGAAAAGGAACTCTAAATACCATAACTATAAACTAATTAAAATTTAATGTTCCTTAAAAATCACATAGCTATCTGAGATAGATTCATAGATGATACGCTAACATCATTTTTTATTTATATTATGTATTGAAGTTTCAAAAATAATAAATTCTAGAAAATATTTGAAAAATACGTGAACAAGATCTTCTGATGTTTGTCTTTTGTTTTGGAAACGATCTCTAGGAATCTGGGGCCTGAGAAAAATTCTAGCTTGCTTAAACAAAACCATTGGTTTTTAATCCTGAAAATCTTTATCATTATTTTCATAGTAACAAACAGACAAGGGTGTTAACTGCACCAATTAGATTTTTAAAGTACTCTGTCTTTGTCCCTAGATCTCCTCTTTGATGGCATTTGCACAGTGCTGGGCACTGATTGTTATGCAAGTAAACTGTCATTATGATTATTTGTTTTTATGAGTGCCAATTAATGTGAAAATATGGAAAGGGTAAAAAATATAGGGTTATAATAACACCTAATAAAAGCTGAGACTTAAAAAGTTCTGATACACACACACATACATATACAAAAATTATAGACAGCAATTTATTTTGTCAAAGGATTCTTCAGTTTAAAAGACAGTTCTACTACCAAATTATTTTTAAAATCTCCCACTTCTCCAGTATATCTGAGGAGTAGGGTTTAATTTGGAAATGTTCAGATATACATGTCTTCATATAGCATGTGGGTGTGTGTATGTATGAAAGAGAGAGAGAGACAGAGACAGAGAGACAGGGATAATGAATATTGGACCACAAACAAAATGTTAATTATACCTTTAACCAACAAGATCTATTCTTGAGAATTACAAAATTTTTGTGTCCAATATGATTAGCCGAGAAGAAGAGGATAACATTTCATGTTTTTAGGTGAGACTTAGTATTAACTGTGCCCCAACTACTTTGGCTGCTGGCAACAAATCTAAATTATGGAAACAACAGCTTGCAGAATTGGGAACAGAGAATGCTAGAAGCTGGTTGAATTGGAAATGAGACACGGGTGACTTTATCTCTTAGAGACTTAGAAACAAATTAGTACAGCTCTCATTTTACAAATGAAACTGCCTTGAGCCCCGACAGGAAAAGGGTCTTTCAAAGGCTGCACATGAGGTGAACGCACAGGGCATCCTGCTGCCAGGACAGCGCTCCTGGGCAGGTGAGTGGAGAGAGAGCCGGGGGACAGAGAAAGATTTTACCTTCCTGGGTCTGTTTGCATATTCATATTCTTCCTATCATGATTCAGCTGGCTTCTGCTCCCTGCTGGAGGATAAACCTAGGACTCATTTGCTGAAATTCTTACAGCACAATCCTACTCCTACTACTGCTACTGCTACTATAGATACTTGATAACATGCACTGAGCTTCTATAACATCACGTTCACTTTAGGGACATTATCTGGTTAATACTGCAAGGTCTGTGAAACCTTAGAAACATTATGTAACTTGTCCAAATGAAGATGAGGATCTGAAGCATTCTCTCTCTGACTGCAGAGTCCACACTTTTTCCTACCACACATTTCACAGAAGGATACTTGGGAGCCCTTTGTGGATTGTGATGCCAGAAAGAGCTAGATTAGGGTTTAATGCCATGTTCCTGCTTATGTAAGTCCTTTCTCCTAATACAATCTGAATAACTGGAAGACATTACAAAAATAGGAAATATTTAGATTAGCAGTTACAGTGCCAGTATTTGAAGGAAAATAGTGTAAAAAAACAACAACTCACTACCAAGTTTATTGGCCAAAGCCAATCACCAGTTTTGTCCATCTGAATGGATGGAAAACAAACAAAATATATTCTTAAAACAGTTTACTTTTCTTTCTTTTTTATAAGGAAAAAATCTTTCTATCTTATAGTTGTTATTTGTTGTATTTCTGATGGCTTAGAAATCAGATCTTCATTAATCATCTGAAAACTATTTTCTGAGCAACAAAAGTACTTCTTTGGAAAAGTGAAATTGTGATGTAGGAAAAAATATTTTCTTAAGACAGTTTGAGAACATTTAGGTGCTTTAAAAAATTATATCATTGTAAGCTCTTTTCTTAGAAAAACAAATTATAGAGATCCAAAACACATTTCATATGCTTAAGTACAGAATTATTACTCTATTTCCAGCTTTTTTTTTTTACTGTCTCAATGATCTGCTATTTCAATGAAAGGGACTCATAGTTTTTGCACTTTATTTTCCTAAAGATGATATAGCAAATATTAGCTAATGACTAGCATTAACAGAAATTTCATTCGCAAAGTTTTAGGTTAAATCCCATGGAGTAAGAAAAAACAATCTTAAGCTACATTTTGCTAATACCTTAATAAAAGTGTGAAATTATTTAACTTCCCTAGGCCTTATAGAAAACACTTTAAAATGCCACAAAGATGTATAACAAGACATAAAACTGCAAATATTAACTGTCTATTTCCTTGAAATATAATTTAAACTTGGTGACTAGGACAAGAAAATGTCACATTCCTTTCTCTTGCTAAGGAAATTGCATATTTCCTCTGCAAAAATAAAGAATACGTGGTCTTCATAAACATATATGTGACAGTTTTAAAGTTGTTTTGTTTCAGGTTAAAGGTTTCTATAAATTTTCATGATTGCCTCAAAGTTGAAAAAAAAAGAAAAGCAGAGAAGAGAAAGCAAAACATTAGGTGTACAAGCTTTGTTTTTTACAATTTAAAATACATTTCTGTTATATCTATATTTTGTCCTCTGTAAATATTATCTTGACTTAAGTAATTTTAAAATCCATCTGAGAGTGAATATACTTTCAAATTTTTATGTTTCCTTCCATGATCTGCAATGTTCTAAACAGAAAGTTAATCTTTGCTCTTCACCAGGATTTGTGAAGCAAACAGACATACATTTTATTAAGTGGAAAATAGAGCAGTGACCTGGGCAGTTCAGTGCTGATAGCTGCACAGTGCTTGGCTGTGGACTAAAGGATACCATAAGCTTTGGATGAGGACGTTAATTTCACTAGGAATTGAGTAATTCTGGAAGCAGCAAGCCTCTTTTAAGACACAGGTCAAATTTCCAGGATTTCGTTAAAATAAAATGAAGGAAAAGTTTAATTATAAAATCAAACACTGTCATAAGGGTTTCATGTCTACTTAACCATTTAATCCTCATATTGACCCTAACAGGTAGAAACTGTTATTGTCTCCCTTTTATAGATGAGGAAACTGAGGCCAAAGAATTCAAGGACTTGGCCAAAATTCATGTGGCCTCTACGTGGCAGACTCATGCCTTTTGCTAGCCACTCAATAGGTTTTAAATAGTGATTGTTAATGTCTTATTAGAGAAGAAAAGATGGACAAAATGGGAAAGGTCACTAATAGGACTATTCTGTCTGTAAGCATTGGGCTCACTATGTTTTCAGAATTTAATCCAGAGTGCATGGATTTAAAATTCTCTGTTGAACACAGCTTATGGGTCATAAGATTTCACAGGACCAGTCCAAAAACTCTGAGGGAGGCAAGAAAGTCCCTAGTTCAGCTCCCTGGCTCCTGGTAGACTGGCTTTGTTAGCCGCCATTATGGCTTTCCTGGTCTCTGTAGAGATTTTAGATTGAAAAGCCAGTCAGAACTGTTGGGGAGCAAGACCCACCTGTGGGATGATGCTAGATGCTCTCTGTCCAACCAGTAAGTATGTTGCAGGAATAGATACACACACACACACACACACACACACACACACACACACACACACACGTCTATGTAGAGTTGCAGGGTTTTCTTATTTTATTTTCCCCTCATTATTAACAGAACAATAAAAGTGTACTACCAGAGCTTGGCAAATCTATTTAAATCCTAATTTTTCTTAACAGTAAAAAGAGGTTGCTCCAAGATTCAGAATATTCCAATAGGCTCCCTCTGTAAGAATAACTTTTGTTAATGAAGGAAATAATACATGTTACTTTTGTCATGACAAGAATAATCTGGGCATATTTTGTTTATCACAATTAATGTTAAACAAAAAGTTTTTCCTATTCCATGTATATTTATAAGAGAGACATAGTTGTATCTCCTACAAAACTTAACAAAGTAAAATGGAAAATTTTCTAAGAGTTTCTATTTACTGTATCATTAGAAATTAAATTAGTTTGATCTTTTGCACCATAACGTCCCCATATTTCAAAAGCATATGTCATGTTTTTATAAGTATGTAAACTTTTTACTAACATTACCGACTAGAATAATTCTGTGATTTGAACCCCCCTAAAATCATCAAAAATATTCTATAGAACTTACCTTTTGACCATTCACCCCTGGAATTCCAGGCATTCCAACAGAACCCTAAGAAGAGACATGATTGAATTAAGTAGATGTAATCACAAAATATTTCAAGTCTAAATTTATATTCTATTAGTTATGTCAGCCATAACTTTACCTTGCTAAAACATGTGTGGGAGGCTAAGTTTTTCAGACCTTATCCACTGTATTCAAATATATAATGTAAACAGACATTCCCAGAAACTATGCAGTTAAATTTAACCATGTTTCCAAATATCCACTTAACCCTAATATGATTTTAAAGAAATTCACATCACAAATTGAGATCTACAGTGATCAGAAGGACATCTGGCTCTAAACTTGGGTGCTTTTAAGAAACAGATTGGTTTAGTTCCATCTGCAAAAACCTAGCAGTAACAGTAACTCTTGAATTTCATGAGTTTAAATACCATAACACAAAAGGTAATTAAAATAATAATCACTTGTTCCATAATTAGTCAAAAAGGAGATCCATACTGTAAACTCAAGTTTGTTGTATTTGAAGCATTTTCTCCCAGACTTTCAGGGAGTACATTTAAGCCATGTGAGTGTGAATATGTCACCTAAATACTAGAAAAGGTGTTACAAATGTTAAACACAACCGTACATCAAATATTGTTAAGTGTGTGTATGTGCATGCCCACTGGGACATGGACGCACATGTGTATGGGTGATTATGAATGGTTGGACACAGGTGGGATGAACTGAGGATAAGAAACCTAATGTCACCTGAAAAAATCTATGACATTTACCTGGATATAGAAACATTAACAAATGTTTTCATTTTTATTTTTTACTTTATTTTTAAAGTTTATTTATTTTGAGAGAGAGTGCATGCACAGGGAGGGGCAGACAGAAAGGGAGAGAATCTCAAGCAGGTTCTGCACTGTCAGCGCAAAGCCCGATGTGGGGCTCAATCCCACGAACCATGAGATCGTGACCTGAGCCAAAACCAAAATTTGGATGCTTAACCAACTAAGCCACCCAGGCGCCCCAACAAATGTTTTAAAATAGTGATGTCATTTCCCTTTCAGGCTGTGGAGAAACCATTTTTAAATAAAATGTGTTTATTCTTTGTCTCACACTAGATTTTCCTAAGTTGATGTACAATATTAAATTTCTTTAGTAATAATGGGAAAAGGTTTTTTTTTTTTTAAAAAAAGAGTAAATATAAACCTGAAACTGCTCTGAGAGAGAAAGTCTATTAAAAACATAGTTATGAAAAAATATGTATAGTTATTATTTGCAAAACAAATTGAGATAGCAAGTTCCTTAGTGCTTTTGGTAATTATATCGAGTGGGTCATTAAAAGACTTCCTGAAGCCTCAGGCAGTAATTTTATCCTGGTTGCATGTGGATTAGGGTAGCTTTACAATTTCACACCATGCTTAATAGAGACATTATTGCACAGGACAAAGTGTTCTTATACACAAGTTGTCTCACAACTCATTGGCTTTTACTTGGTTTGTAGGATTATGTTTCAACAGATGCCACATGCCCAGCACTTGGGGGATAAGAAGTCTCTATCTTTGATGGATTCCAAAGATAAAGAATAATCACTTTTCCACCTGTTGTAACACAATTGTTTTCTTTAGTTTTCTGCAGGTTAAATATCCCTGTTCCTCCCATTGTGAGGTGGGAGTTGTAACAGGGAATGGAGACTTAGCGATATTTTGTTGGCAGTGGGCCATCTACCTGCTATTGATATATTTACTACTGTAGTACTGATGTTATTTTAGAAGCACTAGACCCTTTCCATCAGAATGTAATGGTGAATTCTGATGACTGAGAAATGACAATCAGGAAGTCACCTAAGCAAAGGAAAACACTGGTGGGCCAATCGAATACAGTCACCAAACAAGTAAATCTTTTGTTCTGGTCAGTGCTAAGGTCATTTGGTAATAATATATTTGAGCAAGATGATGCATTCAATCTGCAATGTCATTTGACCCTTCAAATTCTAAGTTTTGTCACAATGCTTTACCACTATTTTAATTAAAAGTTCAATAACCTACAAAATCGGGGCAGACAGCTTAAAAAGAATTTACTCTGGATATATTGGATTTTCTATAATGGAGTTGATTAGAAATCTAATGGCTCACATTATATGATTGTATTTTTAGAAAGCAAAATGCACAAACCAGATTGCTTCGGCATGGCTTACAGTAGCTAATTCTATTCACCTCTCATGCTAGCCATTAGGCAATGTGAACATAATTACTTCCCCAGTACTGTTTATACTCTACCTTTTGTCCTGGAGGCCCCAGAGGACCCTAAAAAAAGAAAAACTATTCAATTAATATAATAATGTAACCATTTAAACTTAAACGACCAATTAAAACTGTCGTAGTCTGCAAAGGATCCCTTTGCTGTGCAGATATATGCTGATGTTTTGTACATCGAGGAAAACGAAAATTATTGGTTGGAAGTACACAATAGGTCTTTTCTTCTCTCTTGTTCTCTTTTGAAGAACATTAAACATATGCAATAAGATTCTGATTTTTCCTTTAAAAAAAGAACCTTTGCTGTTACAAGCATCTGTTTCTTCAAATACCTGAAAATCTATCACATCAATCTCATTTAGAAGGCTGGAGATGTAGCTGCCAGAAGCAGTTAAAATGCAGTGCGGTTCCCCAACAAATAGGCACGTTATTTGACTTCTGCATCTGCAAAACTTCGGTAAGCAGATTTGCAAAGGAAATAATTGAATAGCATCACAAAGAAACATGTTTTACTCCATTCTTCCTCTTATGAAATGTGGCCAATTGACCTACACAAAAACTGGTTTACAAACTAGGGGATGCCAAGATCAATTGTAGCACCTAGGGTGTACCAGAAAAGGAACAAAAGATGTGGTCAGCTGTTGATAATCTACCATAGGGGTGGAGAATATGATATTTAGGAAGAAGAACGGGGAAATTTACATACAAAGTGAAAATATGGCAGTTCTCAGATTTGGCAGTTCTTCAACCACAAAGTCAGCATTGGAATCCTTTTCACTTAATGTAGAACAAGGCACAATTTTTGGATGGTGGAAAAGAGCACAAAGATACACAGTTATAACTCTATTTATGTCTATTTTTAAATAAAAAAATATTAAGCATTTTTCTAATTCTTTCAAAAACACTTTTAATTTTAGTATATTTTAACAGTTATACTTTTTATAATGCTAGCTTACTCTATCATTTCATGTTAACAAGCTCTGTATTCCATTATACCTTACCAATTACTAGCCTATTTTCAATGTGTGATATTTCAGACAATCAGCATCTTAAGTCATATTCTGTAACATTAAAGAAAGCACGAGAGTACACATTAGAGGGAGAATTAGTCATTCATAAGTTTTTATGAAAAATACACAATGTTTAGGAACATTCAGAGAATCTGTTCCTCATAAATTATTTCGTAATCCTCACAGGAAGAATAAGAATTTCCTCATAAAATCAGCTGTAGGTTATTGAAAGTGCACTGTGCAATATCACCTTTGTATGTTCCTTTTTTATTTACTCAACCAACCAGCCTCTTAATGAGCTTGTTATCCGGCATATCTGTGCGGTCAGACATACTCCTTCCCTATCTCACTCCTTGTATTTAAAACTTCCCCTGTTTCAGATTTTGCAGAGAAAACAGAGGCTATCAGGTGTAAATTCCCTCAACATCATGTCTCTCATCAATCCAAACCCACGTGGACCTCCTTCCTATGTCAGAGGGAAAAGAGACACTCCTCTGCGGGAAGATTCATCCAGTAGACTCTGGAATCCATCCTTGCCTCTGTCCTAGGGGATCTTTCTCCATCAATTATCCCTGCATCTGTATCAGGGCCTCCTGCTTCAAACCAGTTCCTTCCCCTTAGTACATAAACAGGTTTAATCATCCCTCACTTGGGTAAATTGTTTGGGAAGTGAATGCTAATGCTAAGTAAAGGCAGAATTTGGAAGTTGTAGTGCTGGGAGATGTGACAGTCGAAGACGATTTGGGTTTTATCATGGTCTATCATTCCATTTTCCCAAGCGTCTCCAGGGCATTTCACTTCTTAAAATGTTGACGTTAGAAAGGAAATCATATAACAAAAGGTGCATTAATTCAGTGTTTAGACTGAGAATGTATATGTTCAATTCAAAAAGGTTTGTTTCCCATTTAAACTTAACTTTGCCACTTGAAAAAATATTGTTCAGTACAGCTGACAATTTGGTACATTGATGGACAACCCAGGAAAGGAAATCAGAGCAATTCCGAAATCAAGTGTTTTAACTAGAGACGAACATATCCGGTATTTTCGCATATTGTCTCTGTTGCATGATCACATTAAATCAAAGATTTAGAAAGACTACCCATAACTGTGAAATCCATAAAATTAAATTGTCTATTTCAACACAGTATTTCATGAAAATCAAAGGATAGCTATAGAGAAAATAAATAAAAACTTTTTCTTCACAGTTAGGAAATTATTTCTATTCTTGCTAAACTCTAAAAAAAAGCAGTTTTAAAAATGTAACATTAACTTTGAATTGTGAATACATGTCTTGTGGATTATTCATAACTACGTTGCCAAGGGTATATTCTCAGCTACCAAAAATGTGCATATATTCCTTTGAATTCACTGGCAGGAAAAATGGTAGCAAGCCAAGGAGAGTGTCATCTGTTACTAGCAGGCGAGTGGGAATAAAGTGGAACTGGATATAAGGCACAGACGTACATTTGAATAAGTATAGACACACACACGTACATGGGCACGAGCGCACCCCAAAGAGTTATTTTGCTGAACAAGATTTTGCTTATATGTATGTGTTTTGAGTTTCCTTAGTTAATTATCTCATTATATATCTGTGACATTGTGGTCATTAAATTTAACTTTACCAATGAAAGCTTCACTGATCAAAAATTGATTTTGAAGTTAGAATATGTTGCTACCAGTTGATTAAGACATTCACATTTGAATAATCTTCTGGTTTTGACTCTAAATATAAATTAATAAGGGGCGCCTGGGTGGCGCAGTCGGTTAAGCGTCCGACTTCAGCCAGGTCACGATCTCGCGGTCCGTGAGCTCGAGCCCCGCGTCGGGCTCTGGGCTGATGGCTCGGAGCCTGGAGCCTGTTTCCGATTCTGTGTCTCCCTCTCTCTCTGCCCCTCCCCCGTTCATGCTCTGTCTCTCTCTGTCCCAAAAATAAATAAACGTTGAAAAAAAAATTAAAAAAAAATATATAAATTAATAAGGTTATGGGAAAATCCCATAGAACCATTCACTAACCATCTAACCTTCTTAAACTTATTTATATTTTCAGTGTGCTCAAAAGTCATTGGAATAATGGCTCAGATAAAAATGTCGTAAGTTCATTACTTACTAGTCAAACTAGTGCTTTTATGATTCCTAAATTAAAGCCAATTATTCTAGTGTTTTAAGATTTTAAAAATAATTCCATTATTATTATCTCCATGACTTGTGTTTGGATCAAATCAATTTTTCTAAACTAAAGGGTCAATATTTTTTTTTTTTCAACGTTTATTTATTTTTGGGACAGAGAGAGACAGAGCATGAACGGGGGAGGGGCAGAGAGAGAGAGGGAGACACGGAATCGGAAACAGGCTCCAGGCTCTGAGCCATCAGCCCAGAGCCCGACGCGGGGCTCGAACTCACGGACCGCGAGATCGTGACCTGGCTGAAGTCGGACGCTTAACCGACTGCGCCACCCAGGCGCCCCAAGGGTCAATATTTTTAATTCTACTTTTATTAATCAATAAAGTGTTGCTTTCTAGATATTTTCTTGGTGGGCACCTTTATATCTGCATATGCTTTGTAAGGAACCAATTTAAGTGGGAATAATCTCATCTCTTCTATTTTTCAAAGTAATTTCTGTGTCTATGTCTCAAGATTAAAAAACTGTACAACATATAGAATCTCTACATATTAAATACATATTAAATACATATTAAATCTCTACATATTAAATACATATTAAACTGTATTTCTTTAACTACAAACGTGTTAAAACTGTAATTTAAACCTTAAAATACACTCGTTTAGGTACAGGTTCTAGGTGATGTATTTGAAAGATAAAAACCCAGTGAGCCATTGAAAAATTCTAAGTGCGGAGTAATAACATCACTCATCTAGATGCAGAAAAAAATTTAAACCAAGGTTTTTGTGATCCTATGGAAGAGACCATGGAGAGCTATGCAAAACTTATAAACAAGAAATAAATTAGACAGCACACTTGATATTCTTTCCTGTTTACCTTCACCCCTGCTAGATTCCATATATAAAGATCATGTAAAATAGGTAGACTATGGTAAACAAGTAAGTCAAAGAAATATGATAGTCCTCATTTGGTGATTGCCTTCACCAGTAAGTGTGTTATTCAGGTCTGGGAGTGATCTTTTAGTCTTCCTGCTCCTAGCCCATCAGATAATTACTCAAGAATCACTCCATCCTGCCCTTTCCATCAGCTGTATTACTATGCCCTTGTTCAAACCCTCTTCTCTCCCACATAGTTGATGGGCGTCTACCTGAGGGCCAATCAGCCTTTCGTCTCCTTCCACCTCTCTCTACAGTGCTGCCTGAGTGAGTTTTCTAGAAGACTAATCGGTTCATACCTTTCCTCTGCTGAAAACCCTTCAATGGCTTTCCATAGCTTTTGAGAAAGGTCAGAGCTTTTGTAATAGTGGTGGTTCCCGCACGAGCCATGCTTTCACATCTCTGCAACTCTGTACCACTGGCTGTCTGTTCCTAATGGACTTCCTTCTGTTGGTCCTCTCTTCTTTACCCATTCCATCATTCAGAGCTCATTGCCCCCACGCATGGGCTTAGGTTCCCTTCTTTTGTTTTCCAAAGCACCCTTATGACAGCACTTCCTTCATAGAATTTACCAACAGTATTGTAATTGTCTGGTTACTTCTTTCTTCACACTAAATGTCTTCTGTCATGCACAGTAGCTGGCATATGGTAATTGCTCAGTGAATCCTTTTGCATTCATTAATTCATCCACTTAATAGTTTTCTAGTACCCACTGAGTGTCAGGCAATTTTCTTGGTGCTGAGGAAATAGCAGAGAACAAAATAAACAAAACTGCATGCCATCCTAGACTTCGTACTCTAGTGAATGGAGAAAGACAATAAACAAATAAACAAGTAAAATATAAAGTGTGTCAAGTGGTTAAGTGCTAAAGCAAACAGGAATAAGGATTAGGAGAAGTACATGTGGTAGTATTGTAAAGTGTGGGGCGTACTTAGTGAAGTCCTCAGGGATAAAGTGTCTCTTGGACAGCGCTCTGGAGGA